CTGCAGGCCGGGCCGCTCCCACGGGCGTGTGACCGGCGTGAGGAGGCAGAGCTGGGCCGCTGCGTGCCACCGGCTTGTTCCAAAAATGGGTGTTTTGACGTGGAGCCGCAGCGGCAGCCTCAGGGGTGCGCTCGGGGGTCAAGGGAGGCCGCCGCGCGTGGGCCGGGCAACCGAACACTGCGATTTTGCAGGGGAGCGCGGCGGCGAGGTGCGTACAGGTTCCTCCGGGTGGGCAGAGCCACCTCTCCGCATCCTCCCCATCCCCTCCTGCGGGCTGTGGGGCAACAGGCCGAGCGGAGCCCGCTACGGGCGAGCCGAGCGCTGGAGGAGAGGGAGGAGGTGATCTGAAAACGGCAGAGCCCGGGGAAGGGCAAAGCCAGGCTTGCCAGAGCATCGGTCCCAGACACCAGCTCATGTATCACATACGTCCCTTGTGAGTGAGCCCAGGCATGCGAAGGTGTGTAACCAAGCAGTGGCAAAGGGCTCTGCTCCTGTTTGAGCCCGACTTGGAAAGCCACGTGCCTTCAGGGACTGTTTCCCGCAAAGCCTGTTGCTCCATTTCTGGCACAAGCAGGAGGGTGCTGGCACAGCACCTTTGGGACTTGCTCCCGGCAACGCTTGGCAGGCTTGAATCGGCGTTTGAGTCCGCTTCTGTCAGCGTTGTGAGTTTGGACAAAGGGGAAAAAAGAACCTTCTTAGTGAGGAAATAATCTGCAGGGCGTCTTAAAACTGGCTGTTCCAGCCTGACCACCCACATGGCAGTTTTCTTGGCCAGCTTCTACTTGGTTGTTTGCTGCCTTTTTATTGAAGTAGTACACTTATTGTATAAAGAGACTTGCAGCAGCAGTGGCTGAGTAGCTGCCCCATAGCTTCATGGTGAGCCATGGCAATCACACAGCTCTGGCAGAGCTGCAGGGTGCCCCACTTGATCCCTCTGTTTCCAACTCTACAAGACTTTCCCCAGCTGCTGTGGCATGCAGCTGTATTTACTGCTGGTGGACCGGTGAAGAGCGGTGCAGTAAGCCCTGTGAGTGTTGAGCTGAGAAATGGTGTGACAAGTCCCTGGCAGGGAATTTTTAAGTGCTGGGGGTGCCTTTGTGTTAGCCTCTGGAAACTCCTGAGAGCTGGGAGTCGCCATAAACCCATCTCGCTGCTGGGCTGCGTTGCTGCCTTTATCTGTGTGCCAGTTGCCTTTACCTGTAAAGTGGGATGAGTCGTATTTGCCTTCCCTAAAGACTGCAAAATCCACTGGTGGGAAGCAGTGGGCAAAAGCACGGTGGCAGCGCTGTAACTGCAGCCATAATGTGATGTTAACTCCTGGCCTCCCCCATTAGTTGATTAATTTTTATTTTTCCATTAAGGACATTTGGGAGCTCACAGCAGCTGTTGGGTTAAGGTTTAGTCCTATCCCATTCTTTTAAGTTGCATGATACTCATAGGTGTTTCTCCTCACAGTGGTTAATGAGGTATACAGAATAGTGAATAGCCTTGTAAATCAGTAATGATCTCTTCAGTAATGTGGCTGGCAGGTTAGCAACTGCATCCCCGTGCACGTCTGGTCTCAGGAGTGTACACATGGCTCCCCCAGACTTCCTCATGTGCCATGGTGTCCACCTCCACATCAAGAACTGTGGGCTATTCCAGCATCCCCTGTGGGATCCTGAAGGGAGAGGGGGAGTGAGGTGCAGGGAGTTTCTCTCATGAATGGGGCTCATCTTGTGAAGTCTTCTAGTGATCAGGAAGGAACTGTTCCCAGGACAGGATTTCCACTTAGCAGAGAGATGAGCTGTTTCTGTGCTAGTCTCCATGCAATGCAATCTGTACAGCTTTTTGTCTGCAGTACAAACCCAGAACAACATCTCACCCTAATGCCATCTCCTGGTCTCTTCTTTCAGATGGGGCATCCTCTTCTCCCACCCGCGGGACTTCACACCTGTCTGTACCACAGAGCTGGGCCGGGCAGCAAAGCTGGTGTCTGAGTTCAGCAAGCGCAACGTAAAGATGATTGCCCTCTCCATTGACAGCGTCCAAGACCATCTCTCCTGGAGCAAGGTGTGGGGCATGGGGAGGCACAAGGGGAGCTTGCACTGCTGCCTGGCTCTGAAGACCAGAGGAAAAGCCCAGACAGACAGAACAGAGTACAGGCTTGGAACTACATATCTCAAATCCCAAAGCATGTAGGATAAGAGGTACTAGAATTCAGAGCAGGAAGGTCTGTTCCATCTTGATGGAGCATTCTCCAAAGTCCAGGGCATTCTATGCATGGACACTTTGAAACAGGAGGAGAACAGTATTACGGCTCTCCTACCTGCACCTGAAAGGGTAAAACGTACGTGAAGGTGGTGCCAAAAGCTCAGAGGAGCAAAATCAATCCACAGACCCTCAAAGAGTTCTGTAATAAAATGGAAGGGAAGGGAAGGGAAGGGAAGGGAAGGGAAGATCAGAAGTGAGCAGGCAGTCTTCAAAGGGTGCAGTTCATGCAGAAGTAGGGAAAAGAAAACAGAGGACAAGCAGGGGCATGTTAAACATAAAACTACAAATAGGAGAATGTTAATGTAAAACCATCAGGAGGGAGTATAAAAAAAGATGGGAACGAAGTAGCTTGCTGAAAGAACATAAAAGGAACTAGTAAAAAACTTCAAATACTCCCTGGCAGCACACTGTTGCTGAGGCTGCATGACAGTAGCAGTGGTAGCAGTGTAAAATAAGATTTCAGGTAGATGTGGCCAGAGTGTAAAAAATACCTGGGTGAATTCTCTGCCTCTTTCTTTGCTCTTAAATTTGGGAATGTTCTCATGCATTTTACAGGGATGAGGCATGCAGTAAGAGGTAGTAAATGTGGGGCATTTCCACACTCAAACATTGTTTCATGACTAACTGGCTTTAGAAATTACCTAACTGCCTTATTGCTTAAATTGACCTTCATACCTGAGTGGTGCTTGGGCAGTGTCCCACCAAGCCTTAGAAGGTCCTGGAAAAAACAGCATACAAATCCGTACCACTAAATGAAACCACCAGTTGAATTAGCAGATAACATCCCATAAAAATATAACAAAGTTTGGGTTGTGCTCCTCGTTGGCTAAAGCCCTTTGAATAAAGTCCTTGAATTTCCAAGAAGCTTTTCAATGGAATCAGCTTTGTGAAGGGCAGGCTCTTTCCTGCAGGGAGATAGGAGGAAGTGGTAAATTGTGTCAAGGGAGAGAAGCAAGTGAGCTCCCTTGAGGGTCTGCAGGAGTGCGTGGGGTTCAGCATACTCAGATGATCTGAAAAAGAGATGAACAATGAGCTGAGTCTGCTGATGCTATAGAATTGTTCAGCACAACCTCAGGTAAAACCAGAAGTTGCAGAACAGCCTCTCAATGCTGACTGATGGGAGGTGAGTAGCACGTTTGCAAAACCTTCCAGAACAAGCGGAGAGAAAAGCAGAGGGCAGCAGTCCAAGCTGTGGTGAGCTTTCTGTCAGGCTGGGAGAGGCCTCAGAGACAATGGTTTGGAAATGTCAGCTCAGCACCTGTCAAAATCGTGAAATTCCTGCAGAGCAAAGATCAGTTAGTGAGGACAAGTCCATAGCAGACTGGAGTCTTCATGCAGCCTGTGTTTGAATACCCCCTCACAGGCTACAGGGTAACAGGAAAAAGTGCAGAGGGGGAACAAAGCTGCCCAGAGATTTGGGCAGGTTTGCTTCAGTGCAGAGTAACTGGGGCTCTTTACCCTGGGAATGGGTGGACATGTCAGGCTGCAACACCGTGAGCAGTGTGAGGAGCATGGAGGAGCAATGAACACAGCATGTGTGCATCGTGAAGGACGTCAGAGAGGACAGGGATGTGATTGCTCTGCTCTTGGACTTGCCCAAACATGTGATCCATTTCCTTTGTTCTTGACAAAGCAGAGAAGAACTTCAGATAACATGGAGAGCTAAAGAGCTGAACTCAGAATGCAAGTGTTAGAGCCTGCTGCAAGTCTGAGACCAGGGACAGTGCCCCAAAGGTCCTTCTGCCCAGCCATGGGGAAAAAAAGCCTAACAGAGATAACTAAGCTTTGGCAGAAGCTGCCTATCTGGACAAAAGCAGTCTTCATTAAATAATAGATTAAAATCTAGAAACTGCAGTTTCTCTCACTTCCGAAAGAAGTCCTAGGAGTGAGCAAAAGTTTGGGGAGATCTCTTTGTGCAATATTCCTTTATGTACATAGGCTTTCTATTTGGATGAAGCTTCTAGCAGTAGTGAGAGGATGAAGCTGGTTTTATCTGGAGCACCACCTGTGAGGAATAAGTGGGCAAGAGGGAAGGCTGAAATACTGCATGAAACAAGAAGAAAACCTTCTGCTTGCTTTGCTGCCAAATTTCAGTGGGAAGATGGGGCCTGGGAAGGTGGGACCAGAGTATAGCCAATAATTTTCATGTCACTTTGCTCAGCTTTGCTTTTCCAGACAAAGATGTCACTGCTCTTCTTAGCCATCCCTAGCCAAGACCTAGAGCCTTGCTTCAGGACTCAGAACAAGCCCGTAGCTCATCCAGGGATTAATCCCACTCTCCTACCTCTCTCATTTGTGCACTGCTGCTCCAAGGGTTGGCTGAAATGCATGAGATCCTTAAGCAGAGTTGACTGGCGTGTGCTGTTCGTGTCAGAGGAGGTTCAGTGTTCTCTGGCCACAGATGCCTTCACTTTGGTGCATCAGGGATGAATAAATCACTCCAGTGATGTCTGCTTTCAGCTTGCACTCTGGAAAGAAAAATAGTTCAGAGGGAAGTGAGTGAGTCTTGGGTGTCTTATTGCAAAATAGGGTGGGGTTTGTGAGGCTGTTTTGCATAGAGATCCCCAGTTTATGAAATTACGTGCATTTTTGGAACAAGTTACAGTCCACAGGATTTTATATACTGCTCAGAAGCTCTCTTCTGAGAGTCCTCCAGCCCTCACTCTGAACGTGGGGGAATGTCACTGTCTGACCTTCATCTACAGCCTCTTGCAATTCTGTGGGGTGTTCAGAACCTGTTGCCTGGGCTGGCCTCTCCAGCTCTGCTTTCCTTCCCTGATCTGCTTTCCTAAAGCAGGTCTGCAACAGAATAGAACTGATTCCTTCCTTCCAAGGCAGGCCTGACAACAACCCAGCTGAGATAAACAGACCCATGTTGCAGTGCAGTGCTGACTTAGAAAGCCCTGAGGAGAAAAGCGAAGAGAAAAGCTGGAAAGGAAACATCTTGCCACGTATGCACCACTTGACCTGCTTTGCAGCATCCTGAGCAGCTGGGGCAGGGTTACAGCCCCTTCTGTCACCACAGACAGCCTAGGAGGGCTGAGGACTGGTGCAGGGCCTATCTGCTCCTGCTGCCTCTGGCATACTCTGAGCAGCAGTGGGCAGCATTTCCAACTCTGCCCTTCCCAAGTTCTCTCTGGGCAGAACCCAGCATGTTCCCCCCACATTCAAAGCCCAGGGAAGGCAGAGACATTTGTACATATAAATTATCAACTCAGCTGATAACACACCGCAGTGGTGTGTAGGAGGCTTGCATCAGCACTGGAGTCGGTTTTGTCCCCTTGCAGCATAAAGAGGATGGGAAGAACGGGCAGCTCTGTTCTGGGGCAGAAACCTTGGATTAGACTTGCTTTAATGCTGGCAGCTGCTCTACTTGTGCTGCCTTGAGCAGACTCCTCCCAGCCCTGCTGCGTCTCAGCGTCACCCATACGGGTGGTACTGTAAACTACAAGGGTAACCTGAATGCTTTGGCCAAGGCCAGATTCAGAGACGCTCAAAATACAGTTTCCCTGGGAAGCAGATCAAGTTTGGACTAGCAAAGGGAGCAACCTCATAAACTGTGGTCACAAGGGAGAGCCTGTACAACTGTGAAAGAGGATGGTTTTCTCTTCTGTCTCAGCTGGGGTTCAAAAAGGACTATGCAGTGTCCCAGCACCTGCACTCAGACTTTTACTCTGTTTTTAAGAGCCTTTACTTAAGTAAACTAGGAGTGACTTGCTGAATGGAGCTGGTCCCTGACACAAGACCTGTGAACTTTTCAACACTTGACCTTTCTTTGCTGTAGAGTTAGAGAAACTGTTCCTTAGGAGCACAGACCAGTTCAGGTGTGACACCAACATATCTGTCAGTAGTGCTAAATCATTTACTGGGAGAGGGTTGGAAGAGGGACACCTCTTCTCTCAGGAAGAGGAAGGTAAAAAAAAAAAAACAAAACGAACCTCCCTATTTCTCTGTACCCACTGCCTGGGCAAAGCAGCTGGTCCACGGGCAGTTCCAGAGGTGAGAGACAGGGTGTGAGCATAGACAGCCTAACAACTAACCTCTAAGAACAAGGCAGAGTCTATCCTGGCATGCAGGTTTCTAGTTTGTCACCTGGTTTCTGGAAACAGAGAAATTTCATGGAAAGCTATGAACCCCTGGCTGTGCTGACCCAGCTTGAGACCATGGGTCCAGGCAGGTCACAAGCTCCTGTAGAGCAGCTGCTGTACCTGCCTGCGTGGCCCCTCTGCAGGAGCTTGCCCCACACACGTAAAGCCTGCCTTCACGGAGGTCTCCCTACCTGGCCTCTGTCTTCCATGGTGGTACCCACAACAGGGAGCATGAGCTTGCCAATGGTTTTGTCTCTGCAGGACATCAATGCGTACAATGGGGAGCAACCTGAGGAGAAACTCCCCTTCCCCATCATTGCTGATGCGAACCGGGAGCTTGCTGTTAAGCTGGGCATGCTGGACCCAGATGAGCGGGACAAGGACGGCATGCCCCTGACTGCTCGCGTGGTGAGTACCTGGCCCAGGAGCACCGCTGAACAGCAGCCTTCTCAGCAGTAGGCATTGCCTGCCGTCCTGCCCTGTGTCCATGGGGCTGGGCTTGAAGATGGGGGCAGCTTACCTGGATGGATGTGACCATCTTTAGGAGCTAGGTTGATTTTCTTGAGCTAGATCCATGGTTTGTGCTGCAAGGAAGAGGCTGGTGCAGCACTGGCCTGCAGGCAACAGCTCCATCCTGCTGTTGCCACCAGCTCATCCTGGTTGTGCCTGTCCTAACACAGAGGGGACAAAAGTGCTTGATCTATTTGCTGGACTTCTGCTCTTCCCTCCCATGCTTGCATTAGAAAGGCACAGGTCAAGGGGAGGAAGCATTTCAAATAGCAAAAGAAGCTGGCATTGGAAACAGGAGTTCCCAGAGCAAACACGGTGTTCCCTGTGCCTGAGCATCACTTGTTGCTCTAGGAGATCCCCACCATGGAATCTCCACTGTCCCAACGCCTGCAATCAAGCAGGCCATCTCCCAGGAAAGGGAGGAGCAGCAGGGCTGTTGGACAAATATCTTCTGCCCAGCCGCTGACCCTGTCTCCCTCTGCTCAGGTGTTTGTTTTTGGCCCGGATAAGAAGCTGAAACTCTCCATCCTGTACCCAGCCACCACCGGGAGAAACTTTGATGAGATCCTGAGAGTGGTGGACTCCCTGCAGCTGACAGCATACAAGAAGGTCGCTACCCCTGTGGACTGGAAGGTGAGGAGGGGAGCAAAGCTCACAGCTGGCCACTGAAAACATGCATTGAAATGTCAACCAGCCTCCCTTTGGGGCCCATAGGGTATGGAAAGCTGCCAAGATCCTGAGATACGAGTTAGATCCCAGCCCAGGCTCCAGAGCTGTTGCAGTCTGGAGTCAGCCATAGGAACCTCCCACCCCTGCCCTTGGTCCCTGGTGCCAGCAAATACTGGGCTTGGCCCTTCTGGCTATCAATATTTAAGCTTTGGGCCCAGGCAGGTCCTGCCCTTGTTGTCTGTGATAATGAAGGGCATCAACAGGTGTCAGTGTGCCAAAGTCCACTCAAGACCAGCCAAACAGCAAACATGGGCACCCCTCCCTGGCCCGGCTTGCTGCTCTCCTGCCTTTGAGCCAGGAAGGGCCAGTATGGGCACAGCCCTGCTTTGCCCAGCATGTACACAGCCAAGTCCTTGTGGAAAATTACTAGTTGAAGTTGCTTAGTTGTGGCCATACCTGCTCAGTAGCATTATTTAAAACTCCTCAAAAAAGCTTGGGCAGCCAAGATAAAGCAAGAACAAGCAGCACAGTCTGGCTACTTTAGCTAGCCAGTGTTTCCTTAACCTGTCAGAGTTGCTCAGCTCCTGGACCTGCCCTGCTGCTGGCTTTGATAGGTCTTACTGGGGAAGCCTGCCTGTCTGGAGTCAGAGGACACACTCCCACTGTTACAGGGTGTCCTGGAGAAGTCCTCCTGTGTTATGAGGCAGGAGCAGGCTCCCAGAGCATTGTCCCAGATAGCTGTTCTGTCTGGGCAGGAAGGCCCTGTGGGCACAAGCCTTGGAGGTCCAGCAACTCGGGGTATCTGTGCGCTTCACTGTGCCCCTCCTCCTCTCAACATGTTCTGAGTGTACAACAAACTGCACCTTCATCTCCTGGGGCAAAACAGAGTGTGGAGGCAGCCTTGCTTCTGAAGACTCCTGTCCCCTGCAGCCTAAGTTCCCAGCAGTGTGGGGCCAGCTCCCCCCTGCAGCCCACCTCCCAGGGAAAGACACCTTTCCTGGGGCTTGACACACCACGGGGGAGCCAGCACCGCCTGTCCAGGGCCACCTGAGCAAGGGGAATGGATGAGCAAGCTGTGCACCCTCCTGCATTGTAGAGATGCCCAAATTCCCCTCTCATTACTCCCTGTTCCTGTGGGAGTGCTGGGGGGGAAGAGCTGGGCTGCAGGATCCTGTTGACATCACCCACAGCTCCCAATGTAGCTCCCACCCACTGTATGCTCCAGGCAGTGCTGCAGGGGATGTGCCCAGGGCACTGGGGTGGTCATGGGGGGGCAGTGTCACCTGCATCCAAGCCTGCCAGCTCCTCTGCTGCTCTCACGGTTCCCATTTGCTCCCCAGCCTGGTGACAGTGTCATGGTTGTGCCCACTTTACCTGACGAGGAAGCCAAGAAGCTCTTTCCCAAAGGAGTCTTCACGAAGGACCTCCCATCAGGCAAGAAGTACCTGCGTTACACCCCGCAGCCCGAGTGAGTGGGTCTGCCCAGCCATCCCACCGGGCTGCAGGGCATTTGGCATTGGGAGCCTTCTCGGTGCCCAGCTCCTGCCTCCCTGACACTGCACAGTCAGCAGCCTCGTACCATCACACTGATGGTGCATCTCAGTACTAAGCCAATCCTCCCCATCCTTTCATCCCCCACATCCCCTCAAAACTAAAACCCTGGGTCTTTTCTTGCCTTGAATCAGACCCGCAAGGAAGCAGTTAGCAGACCAGTCGGGGCTCCAAGGCTCATGTTCTGGAGTCTCTCCTGTTCAGCTCCAGCCGAGCTTTTCCCAGAGGCATGGTGATAAGCGTGGTGTCAGCAGCCGGGCCCCAGAGGGGTGTCCTGGGCTCACATGTCTCCCATCAGGGAGCTTCAGGAGCTCCCAACTGCTGTGTGCCTTTCAGAGCAGCCATCACTAACGCATTAACACCTTTGTCTGGTCCTGTGCATAGGGGAGGAGCTGCTGAGCCAAATCTCTCATTTCTTACTGCTTTCTCATCTCTTGCTGGAAGTTGTTTTCAGGCTTTACGGAAGAGGGAGTAGAGTAAATAAACTGATCTTCAGTACTACCTGTAGTATCTCTTGTCTGCCTCTGCTGCCCTCCATGGCACCCTGTACCATTTTACTTTGTTCCCTGTGGCTGTGCTCCTGGGTGGGTGGCAGCAGCACAGGTTGCCCTTGTTCTTGCTCTATAAATAAGGCACTTTGGAAAAACAGACAGATAGTCTCAGACAAGGCAGCAGGGCCCAGGACAGCTGTGCTGCACCTGCTCTGTGGCAGAGCCTCGGTGGTGGGAAAGAGGAGATGTCTGCTCAGGGAACATGCCTTGACCTGGCCTGCTGTTAGCTGCTGGGTGGGGGGTCCTACCCTGCTTTCCAGGCATGATACAAACTCCTCCCAGCTCTGCTGCACCTACACCTCAGGGATCTGTCAAGAGAAGACTGATGTTTTAATATAACACTAGCAAAGAAGCCTCACCAAATAGCTCATAGGCTGTCTGCCAGCATCTCTTGGTGCCCAGCGCAATCAGCAACACTCAAAATGAGCAGCTGTTAAAAGAAATTGGCTGGCTCAGGGCACAGACATATCCCACAGCAAGCCTGGACTAGTAGGGTTGATGCTCATGGTAAGCAGCACACTGGATGCAATGAGCATCCCGCAGACCCTAATCCTGGGACAGCACCCACACCCACGTGGGATGAGACCTGTCAGTCCTCAGACAACATTTAATGCTGCTGGGAGTCTCCCAGCACCCATCACTGCCCTCCTCCACCCCAGCATGCAGGCCAAGACTGAGGACATCCTTCCCTAAACAGCTGTGTTTGAGAGACCTCCCTCTTTCATTATTGAAAAAAAACCATTAATATTTAATTGCCTCCAGGAACTATACAGTGAATATTTCTATTTTTTCCCAAATTACTTCAATGAACCTACATTATGAAATTCTGCATTATCTCCATGTATTACTTTTACTATAAGAAGAAAAACCCTGGTCTCCAGGTTGACTTTTGTTTCCCCTCTTCCACTCCGTGCGAAGTGGGAGGGAGATCTGCAAGTTCAAAGGGGAAACATCCCTTTTCTGTGTAGTTTTTTCAGCCTTATCAAGCTTGGCAGCTTCCCTAGTTCCCCACAGTTGGGCTGCATAAGCTCCTGGGTTTCTTGGTGGTCCCTCAGCACACAGCCCTGGCTCTGAGCTGGTTTCCCAAGGAAAAAAGGGATGCCTACCAGAGCTTTCCAAGCAACTGCCCAATTATTTGGTTTTTTGAGGATGTGGCCTCATGGCAAGTTTTGTGCAAACGGCTGCTCTGACCATCCCCAGGGAGGGGGCACTGCAGGGCAAGCACAACCTCACTGGGACACCAGAGAAGCCACCTGCAAGTCGGGACAAGGGGGAACAAGTCCCATCACCCCACCCAGGGGCTTAAAGCTAGCAGAGGCAGCCACTGGTCCCACCGCGCTAACGGCTGAAAGCCCATGAATTCCTGCCTGCTCCCCCACACCACCATGTCCCCAGAGGTGCAAGCCAACCCGACAGACTCAAACACACGCAGGGTTTGGTTCCAGTACAGCTCGAGTGGTTTTCTTTTAATCCCAGAGAAGTGAAATGCAACATTTGTTCGAGTTTGTAATAACATCCAGAGACAGAAGTCCAAGCCCCCTACTCGGTAAGTCATTTGTGTTTAAGGCACTCTGCAAAACCAGCTTTCCTCTTCTTCCAGTTTTCCCCACGCGGCAGCAGAATACCTGGTTTGGCCTTTTCTCCATAGCAACACCCACACGTCCTGGCTCTTCTCACCATCTCCAGGAATTGGCAACAGCAAATCCAGCGGGAGCCAAATGGAGAAATGCCAGGAGGCCAGATCAATAAATATGGACGGGCATGGGAGGGAGCACAGTGCCTGGGGAGGGGGTACAAGGGCTTTGAGCTTCTGTGGGAAGGGGACAGGCACCAGGTGTCCTCCCTGCAGGCACCGATGTGAGTCCCCTTTTCCTTTCTCCCTGCCCCAGCTCCGAAAGGGGATGGGAGCACAGGGGTCTGCAAGCATCCCTCCCCAGCAGCACTCCCAAACACGCAGCAACACCCCAAAATGCAGGGGGCTGGGCAGGGGGGGACCCAGCTGCCCCCACCACACAGCAGAAATGACCCCCTGACTTCCAGCCATCAATAAATATCAATCAATCAATAAATAAATAAATAAATAAATAAAGTGACTCAAGGACAGGGACAGAGGGGAAGGGGCACCCCGAGGCTCAGGGCAAGGGAAGCATGCAGGTGGGCATCTCCATGACCTGTCCCTCCCTGAGATAATGGGGTGCTGATGTGAAAGGGGGGCACAGGGAAGGCATCCCACGGGGCAACTGAGCCCAGGGGTCCAGGTGCTGGTCCTGGGCGTGGGCTCTGCAGCTGGGACTCCGGCTCAGGGTCCCCATCAGTACTGCTGCAGGCCACAGGGACATAAGCCAAACCCAGATTTGCAGGGGGGAGCTCCCGCCCACTGCCTCTCTTCCCTCCCCTTCTCTTGAGCATCAGGAGCCTTGCAGTCAGTGCAACTAAGCTCGGGTAGATGCTCACCCAGCACCTCCACCCAAGTGTGAGCACGCACCTTTTGTGAACACGCCAGATGCCTGCAAATTTTTGCAAACATTGTTTGCAAATTTTTTTTGCCAACAATTTTTGCAAACTTTTTTTTTTTCTTTTTTTAACGGGGAAATGCCCACGAAGACAACCCACGCATCAAACCGAGTTAAGCACATCAAATCCAGCCATCGGAGAAGGAGTGGGCATGGAAGCCTGGCAGAAGCCTGGAGGGGTGAGCACAGGCACAGCCCCAGGGCTCAGCCAGAGTCTGCCTGCAGGCTGGGGCAGCCCTGGTTGTGCAGGCACATGGCTACAGCCAGGCTCTGACCCCAACATCAGCACCAGGCAGCATCAAGCACCTCCCCGGGGACGTTGCAGACACACATGGACAGAAACGGCAGCCACCGCTGTCTCAGCGTGCTCCCTGGGCTGACAGCCAGCATGCAGACTCTGAGCACAGCCCTGGCCCTTCCCCACAGGTTTTGGGGAGCTGGCTCACACAGCCTCTCTGGACACAGCATCCTCTTCCAGCAGGAAGCCCATCTCGGGTCTACCCATTTGTTGGGGAGCCCCTTCCTCTGGCTTTTTAGCTCTGATGCTGCCAGAGACATTTCTATCCCACTGGGTCAAAAGTATACATCCGCCTTATTTCAAACCAAAAGGTACTTACCGCCTCCTCCTCCCCCAAACGTTAAGGAAAATTGTATTTAAAGTTTCTAATCCCTCTCCACACACGCATTTTGACAAATGAAACATCAGTGACGGCAAAAGCTGCCGTCAATCCCCTACCAGGACAAAACCACGGGCAGAGTCTCACAAGTGCGGGACACCTTCCCATGCAGTCAAGCTCCCAGTAGAAGTTTTTCACTAGAAAACACAGCAAACCCAAGCTCAGAGTCCCCTCTTCCACCAAACCTTTCCCACCACAAGGCTGTAGCCCCAGTGACACCCAGAAATAGGCACCAAAAGCAGCAGGTTCCCAGCCCACTGCAAGGCCAAGCGGGAGGAGCAGGACTGCCAGCCCCAGCATGGAGAAGTGTGCATCAAAATGCAACGCTCCCAAAGGGAAAAATAAATAAACAATCGAATCAGCAGCAAACACTACTGAGAATAAGTAGCATGGGGATTTCACAGGGATTTTTGGTCTAAGATTCCTGGGGAGCCCCTTTGCCGGCAGGGACCAGGGTATGCATCCCACCCCGGAAAAGCACAAGCTATGGCTGAAGCTTTGCAGGAGCTCAGCTATGCTCTCTGGAGTGATGCTGTGGGGATGTGCCAGCACACCATGGGGAGCAAAGCAGCGCTGGGCTGGGCATCCCAACAGCCAGGCTGAGGGGCAGCACTGTTAACACTGCAGAAAAAGGTTTGCATGGAAGTGCTAAACTGGTGACCCTCCCCAGGCTCTCCTGGTGATGGGACAGGAGATGGGACCCTCCTAGCAGGAATTACCTGCATCCCCAAGGCAGCACAAACCTCCCATGGTGCAAAGGCAGGGGTGTGAGCCAGAGGAGCCGCAGGGCTTGTGCCGGGGCAGCAGACAGAGCAGAGAAAGTGGCAAAAGCCGTAATCATCAGCTCAGGAGCAACAGGGTGCCTGGGGCATCGGCAGTGCAGCCATGGCTTACACCTCTGCTGCATCTCAAGGGCAAGATACTGGGAATTGCAGGTCATGGCCCAGAGCACGGCATCCACCCATGGACCAGACAATGCCAGCTACCCTGGCAGCAAGGGGCGAGAAGAAAGGCAAATAAAACCCTGTTACTCACTAAGCACCTGCCGCAGCAGGAGGCAGCACCCAGGCAACATGTTCACTTCTTCCTTCCCAGGCAAACCCAGGCCTGGCCCACGCAGCCTCTACTCACATCCCTGCCTCCAACCCCCGGAGAGAAGACCCCCATCCCTGCAGAGCCTGGGGAGTTACCACAAGGCGTGCCATCCCCTCCACCAGCATCCCTGCCAGTAGGACCCTGCTCTGTGGGTGGCTGAGGAGGAAACGGGTCTCCATGTGAGCTGGTATTTGTGTGGAAAATGAGCAAGCATCCAACTTCTTGCAAGGGACTTGGGTCTGTGGTGGAAGCGTGCGAGTCTCAGGATACTTCCACCCTGGTTTGGGTACCACACACACAGTCAGCAAGCACCTGGCCTGGGTGAACGGGCACCACTCCCGAATTTTCACTAGGCTGAGAATTGATTTTGCTTCCGTAAGAGAAGGGTCAGTGGGATTGGGGGGAGGGGGGGGAGGTTGAGGAACTGCAAAGATTTAGTGCACCTTAAAACGAAAGGACATCTAACCTGCCCTTAGATCTCACTCCGAGACAGAAAAGAGCTATGGCATCTCCTACACTCACAACTACTCCAAACACACCCAGACGCATGCAAAACATGTCCCCCTTCCCCTCAGCTGTGGAAAACCCCTCCAGGGCAGCAGTGCTGGCCAGTGCCAGGCTCTGGTTCAGCACCCTGGCACTGCCACCTCCCACTCTGCTCCTGAGCCCTCCTGCCCAGTCCCAGCGGGCAGGGCGAGGGGTCGATTATCAATCCGAAATGCATAGGTATAGACACCACGAGGACACCCATGCCCCAGCAGGGAGGGTCACTGCAGGATCCCTCCGCATCCAGCAGGCACGGTCTCCGGTTCTACTTCCAGTTGGGTGGAAAGCAGCATTCGCCACAGGCACAGTTAGATCACACTCACGCTCCTTGCATTGCCCTGCAAGGAAGGACGAGTCGTTTAGGTCAGACAGCCTCTTTGCCAGCCATAAGCCCCTAGAAGTACTCAATTCCACTTCCTGGGAAATCCTCCAGCTCAGCGACCCCTCTTCTGCACCTCCATGCCAGCCAGGCTCCCTTTCTGACTAAGGAGGAGCCGTGTTTCCAACCACAGCTACAAAGGCAGGAGAACCCAAGAGGTCTGCTTTGGCTCAGAAACCCCGTTCGTTTGCAGCAGGCTGACAGCACCCAGGTCCTCATGCGCGCACACCTGCGCTACTCTACTTGGGAGGTATCACGACTATAGGCTGGCCTCGCTTGGGTCTCCACATGAGGACTTGGGCATCATTGGCATTGGGTTTCACTAGTGCATTTGGTGGGATGGGCTCCATCCTGCTGAGGATTCGGGGCTGCTCCTGCTGAGTCCTTCCCACCAGCCGTGCCCGCTGCCCCAGCAGCTGCATGGGGTCAACCTCAATGTCCACTCGCATCCTCCACTTTATAGTCTGCAAGATGATCTTTTCCTTGGTAGTGGTGTTCATGGCCACCAGCCACGTGGTAAAGCTCTGGTCCCTTTTAATCCTGGTCAGCAGCGGCACGTTGCTGTTGCTCACAGGGACAGCCCATGTCACACTGGGGTAGAAATTGTCATTCATGCTCACCGAGAACCTGGAGATCTTGTTAGTGGGCCCAACCAGGGTCACAGTTTCTGTGGTGTTTCCATACCAGGGGTAGCTCACGCCATCTGAATCGCTGATGGCTTTTACTCTTCCTTCTCGCAGGTCGGGCAGCTCCCAGCTTGACCTAGCGAAGAGAAAGGCCAGGTTAGCAGGGAAACAGCAGAGACAGAGCCCAGCGAGGGACAGGGAGTCAAGCAACATGGGGACCCTCCCCTCGCCTGCAGCAAGCTCTCAAGGACCTCCTTCAAGACCAAATTTGGCTTCAGTTCCTTTGCTGAGTCCCTCACAGGCAAATGAAGCCTTTGTTCTGCCAGCACACCACTATTTTAATTAACCTGCAGTCAAACCAACTGGGCCAAAACTCATTGCAGAGCCTCTCTGGGGTCACTCTCCTTAGTCATCTCCTGTGCTGGAGAACAGCCTTCCCCATCCACAGCTGCAGCACCACGACCACAGCACTGGCCAAGCCCGTAAGCAGCCCCCTCCTGTGATAAAGTGTGATTTTTATGCCTCTAAATATATGCATCTGCACAGAGGCACACACGATAATTAAATACCACAATTATGCCTGCCGCTGGTGCGATGAAATCCCTGCAATATGGCTGGGGGGGAAATTCCAGCCCAAATCTTGGCTGTCAACCACGTTAGCAACACTGCACGGCTACAGCAAGGGAGACGATTGCCACGTGGCAATTACGAACGGGGAGCACTGGTGAAACCTCCCACCGAGTCCAAGCTCTGGTTTCAAATACATCTGGGCTCTGAAGCTGCCTGGGAGTGGTAGGGGACATGCGGCCACCATCCCCCCAGCTGACAACCTCCGCTCGCTCTAACGTCACCAATTGCTCCAGCGGCACGTGCAAACGAATCTGCCATGATGCAGGACGCAGGCAGGCTGCACGAGGACCCGCTGCTCCCTCCGTGCCCATGCACGTCGCCGTGCCCACCGCCCCATGCTGACAACCCCGGGCACCAGCACTGGGATCCCACCGGCGAGCTGCGGAACGGACCCCTCTGGCCATCTCCAGCCCCCTCTTGCATCACCAATTTCAAAAGGCAGAAGACACAGAGACAAAGACAACAGCTTTGCCCCTCGGTGTCCCCCCCCAAGTCACCCACACGGCCTTGGAAAAAAGTTGGTTTCCAGCAGCCATTTCAGCCAAGCACCGCAAAGCTTTTAACACGAGCCAAGGGGACAACTCCCCCAGCACCACCTGCACTCACGACCTGGCCCCAGAAAAACACACTAGCTGGGGGGGGGCAGCGGCCATGATGCCCTCAGACAAGTTTCAGGCCACCCAGCTGGCACAGGAGCCGGCTGTAGGACGAGAGGAGCGGGGGCTGCCCGGGCCCGGGAGGGTGGTGGTGGCGGTAGTGGGTGCAGACACGGGGTTGGGGTGCAGTACCCGGTGCCCGGGGGTGCAGCGCAGCGCTCAAG